GAGGCACCTTAAAAGAAAGGCCTAACAAACAACTGCCGAAAGATCACAGCCATTGAAACCCTAGGGCAGAGTTCCACCCTGACACACACATGGTCACCTGAGTCTGAAGAGACTCAACAACAACTGGCTTGGGGTTTTTGTTTTGTTTTTATTGTTGTTTTTTATCCAAAGAGTAGACTCCAAAGATTTTCTGCAGTAATGAAGAGAGGGAAGGAGTAAAGGATGACGAGTGTAAAAGGCATAGAGCAGGGCTAGCAACTATGTAAGCACAGTTTTAAACCTTTCTCTAGTCTTGGGGAAGGAACATCCTTCCTGAGTTACAGCTGGCCTGTGATGGACATTCTTAGAGAGGCTGAAAGATCTGTTTCCTGTATTGTAGGACAACACCCACCACGGAGGCTATCCCGGTCCCTTCCGCCAGGTACGCTAAGTATCCCAGGGATGCTTAAACAGGATAAGGAAAATCAGAAGCAGACACTCCTGGGAAGTGTTTGCAGCTCCTGTCTCTCCTGGTTTGTATGAACTTCCTTCTGTCCTACTATAAAAGTGTTGCAATTTAAAATTTTCATGTGGAACTGGGGTGTAATAGTTGGAATTTAGAGTGTTCTGATTTTCAGAATCCATTAATCAGTGTCATCAAGCTTGATGACATGCATGAGGAATGTTGACTTAAGCCCCTCCAAAAAGAGAGCAAAACTGCAACTGGTATGGAAGTTAGGCCTAAGGTTTCTCTCATTCAGATATCAACCTAGCATGCCCGTTCTGGAGACTTCTGATGTGGAATTAGGGTGTAGATAGATATGTATCCTTCAGCAAAGGACACCGACACACACACACATATACATGCTATGCATACACTCTCTATGCAGGGTATCTGCAAAGTCAAGAAACACAGGATAAACTTAGTCTCAGATAAATTTTCAAATGACATGCTCAGTGTTCACAGGTGAAGTACCCTAAATTTAAACAATGGGTCTAATCGTTACTCTAAGAAAGTATAAAAACACGCTATCAACCAGTAGCCATGAAGTCAGTTCTGACTCACACAAACCCATGTGTGCCAGAGTAGAACTGTGCTCCATAGCATTTTTAAGGCTGTAACTTTTCAGAAGCAGACTTGCCAGGCCCTTCTTCCCAGGAGCCTAGGTGGGTTAATAGTCAAGCACATTTAGTGAGTATCCAAAAAGTGTGAAAACAGGGAAGAGTTTCTTTGGAGTCATTTTTTTTTTTCTTTCAGAAGAACAATTGGACCCACTGCTTAAAATTTTGGCGTAGTGCCTAAGGCATTTGACTGCTAACCAGAAGGCTGGCAGTTCAAACCCACCAGCCACTCCTTGGAAGAAAGGTTGGGCAATATACTTCCGTAGTGATACCGCCTCGGAAACCCAAGGAGGAGTCCCTATGAGTCGGATCCAACTCCATGACAGTGCGCTTGGTGTTTTTTTGGGTTTTTTTCACCTGAAAAGATGTCTGGAGGTTGAAGAAACACAAACTGAACATACTATTTGAAAATGTAAAATCACATACTGCTTAAATGTAAGTTTATCCTATGTTTCTTGATTTTGAATAGTACCCAGCATTTCTTAAGGGCCTATTGTAAGTGGAATCCTATTAGGTGCTCTATATGTGTTAACTTATCTTTGCAAATGAACCTACTGAGCTTAGTGATCAAAAAAACCAAAACCAAACTCACTGCCAACTAGTTGGATCCAACTCATAGTGACCCCTCCTTGAGTTTCTGAGGGGGTATCTCTAGTAAGTAAATTGCCCAGTCTTCCTTCCAAGGCGTGGGTGGTGGGTTTGAACCACCAGCCTTCTGGTTAGCAGTCAACTGCTTTAGGCACTACGCCACCAGAGCTCAGTGACAGTAGTCCTATTTTGTGGGTTAGGAAACCAGGCTCAAACGGAGACTGCAAACCTAAGGCTAACAGAAGCTATGTAAATATGGGGGGGAAAAGTGGGGGGGAGGCATGGTACTGCTCTAAATAAAGAATGCTCAGTTCAAGCCAGGGAGCTCTGGTAGCATAGTGGCTAAGACACTTGCCTGCAAACCAGACGGCTGGCGGTTCAAACCCACCAGCCACTCCTTGGAAGGAAGGTTGGGCAATCCTACTTCCGTAGTGATACTGCCTCGGAAACCCAAGGAGGGGTCGCTATGAGTCAGGGCCAACTCGATGGCACATAACAACAACAACAGTTCAAGCCAATTGTTGCTAAGCAGGAATTCTGGCCTAGAGTTGCCAGATATTTCTTTTCCAGAGAAGTCAAAAATCTGGATTTGTGCCAAAATGCTTGTGAGATGTTGGTAGCTGAGCGGTGCCCTGGTTGTACATTGGTTAAGCGCTCGGCTGCTAACCAAAAGGTCAGCAGTTTGAAGCCATCAGCCACTCACTCCAAGGGAGAAAGATGTGGCAGTTTGCTTCCATAGAGATTACAGCCTTGGAAACCCTCTGGGGTAGTTCTACTCTGTTCTATGAGGTCCCTATGAGTTGGCATCGACTCATGGGCAACTTTCTTGGGGGGTTGGGCTGTAACTAATCACATTTTTATAAACCCTGTGTTGGCTGAGCCAAACAAATTTACAAAGCAAATTCAGCAGCAGGCCTCTAGTTGGTAAATTCTGAATTAACGTAACTTGCTTGAGGTCTCACAACTAGAAAACAGTGGGACAAATCAGAATTCAGCTCAGTCTGCCTCAGAGTATCTTTTTCCTAAGGACACTATAGAAGTAGCTGCACTGAATTAAATGAAATCTTGTTTAAATGAGTCAACTCCTAAAGCCAGTAGTTCTATGTAAGTGGCAGCTGTGAGAGACTGTACTAGGAAGTGAGGAAGTAGCAGGAGAGATTCCTGTAGGGCAGCACTGAGCAAGGAGGTGGGGCTAGGATGTCTTAGAATTGTCGCAGAATGCAGACATTACAAATGCTCTTTCTGGGTACCTTCTGGATTTAATACCAGCAATTACAATCAGGAAGCTCCTAACCCTATCCAAAAAAGAATTGAAACGCCACCTGAAATTTCCAAGTACCTGAGACCTCCCACAAGTCTCTTATTTACAGTATCCTTAAAACATGTCTCCGAGAACAGGAGGGCCACTAGGAATTGGAATCCACTGGGCAGCAATGGGTTGGGCTGGCTTTTATAGCAGGAGCTTTTGACAACGTTTAGAGACCAAAGTTTTTATTCCATCACAGGAGTAGGATTACAGAGCCCCCAAGCATAAATAAGACACCTGCAATCACCATATCATGAAGTTTCAAAAGACTGACTAGCATTTAAAATGGGATTAACATTTCCTTTCAGATTCTACTCTTGACTGTGTAAAAGGTTCTCCCCAAACAGCTGAGCTGACTTGCCTTATGGAGAATTAAAGAGCAGCACGCATGCATGCACACCCAAGCAGCCATTTCTGTAAATGCCTGAGCAACTCACTCAACTGAATGGCCCAGAATTCTGGTATACTTTTCCTGAGCCAGACTGGGGAGGCTCACACGGAGGCACTGCAGGCCTCCCCTATCGCACGTACTGGGCAGCTCCCTGAAGGAGAAAGTGCCTTTGCTCAAGGTGGCAGTGGGTGTCCATGTGAACAAATGAACTCTCAGAACATGGCTGACACCGCAGGCCCGCCCAACAGCTGTTGGTGAGTAACACCCTTGGTTTAATACACCCCCCACTTCAACCCCAGAGCCACATGAAAGGTCAGATCCTCCAATTCAGGCACAAGTCTTTCGACATCCTTACAGAGACAGACTTTAAAATATGCTGTTTTATGGCAACCAAGACAACAACCCAAACAGAACCTGATTTTCCGTGAACAGAGGAAATTCAGTTGCATTCCTGCACCAGCAACCACTTCCACAAGAACCACCTTCCCAAAGAAATAAAACTGATGAGGTGCAGGTATGCAGCCTTTCTCTGAAAAAGCAAAACAAAAAACCAGCCAAGAGCCTTTTCTTAAAAGTATCAAACGATTATACCACAAAATATCCAGACTTTTCCAAGTAACTCCAACAACCACCTCTTAAACACAGTGTCAAAGGGCGAAGAGAAAAGGAGTTGTCCAAATCTTATCAGAATAGCAGTTGTAAAAGAACCTTTCTAAAGACAGGGAAATGGTATGTCCACATATGACCACTTTCTTCCCACTTTCTGCTGCTATGTTAAACAGAACCGACTAACGTCCCTGAAAGTCTCCAAAGCCCATTTTCTACTGCAGATGTCTTCCTCGCCACACTCATTTGTCCAGCCCTGCCTTTAGCTGTCCCTGGGAACGCCAGTCCATGCCGCATCCAGACTGTCTGTCCGTCCTCACATTTACAGAGCCTTGACCTCCGTCAAGGACCACACCTCCGCGACGCTAACTGCTCTATTCAGAGACCGAGGGGGCGACCTCTCTTTAGCTCATTAAAAAGGCTAAATAGTTGTGAAGTTAGCTCACTAAGCATTACTAGATCAAACTCTTGTGCTGCCTGAAGCGGTGTTATTTAAAACATCTCTGGGGACTCTTGGCCAAATTTAAAACCACCTTGGTAAGCCCTGGAAAGTAGCAAGCATATACCTAAATGAGTACTTAGTCATTCCTAAAAGGCCCTATATAAAGTGTGCCGCTTTCCCCCAGGTTTCGGACACTTGGCTGCAATCCCACGAGGGAATAAAATAAAATAGACGCCATCTGACTGCCCCGCTGCAAACGTCTTCCCAGGTGGGGTGGCCCCACAGACGCGGGGTGCGGGAGTCCTGGGGGCGGGGCAGGGGAGGGGCGGCACCCTCCCAGCGAAGCCACGCACGGGGGCTGGCAGTCAGCTCTCACTCTGCCCGCCAGTTTAATGCTCTCTCCATTGCTTCTAGAATCTGGGTATAATTAAGGAGCCAGTGAGCGTCCTGTCTCAACACGGTTAAATTATTTAAAGAGTTAAAATCTCTTGCACCCTTTAGGCCGAGTGTAGTGCCCGGCCAGAGGTTAACCCCAGACCTCAGTGGGAAAGGGAGACGCTGCTAACCTGTATGCACTCTGTAATGGGCTTTGAGATGGGAGGATTTTCCATAGACTTTCCCACAGCCACTGTAGGGGCACTTGTGCCTCTTTTCGGAGGCGTGTTTCCCCTTCGCAGCCATTCCAGGGTGGAGGAGGGAGAGCGGGCTGGGCGCGCGGCCAGGATCCTGTCTCTCCTCCGGGCTGTGGGAAGGACTCGACCCAGATTCGGTGGTCACGTCGCTGTCGGATCCCATATCCTCATCGGGACTCTCCAGACTGTCGCTGCACACCGAAGGGGTCTGGATGGGTCGGTACTTGTTCAGGTCCAACAAGCTCTTGGCGATGGTGACCAGCGTGCAGTAATCCTTCCAGGTGTCCCCTGGGTCACCACCGTGCTCCTTGGTCACCTCGCGTTCAGGTAGTCGCAGCCGCTCGGCGTCCGGAGCGCCCCCATGCTCCGGCACCGCAGCGCGGTTCGAAATGGAAACCAGACACTGAGCAGCCACGAAGTCCATGTAGGCGGCCGCGGACATGGTGCGGGCGACGGCAGCCCAGGCGGCACGACCAAACTTCGCTGTGGCTGCGGAGGTTCGGCTCGCCCTGCCCTCGCCTCGGACGACAAGCGCTGCGCGCCGCGGCGGCCAAGGGGGCGGGGGCGCGGGGCGCTTCCGACTCACAGGAGCGCCGAGGCGACCTCAGCCCCTCATCTTTACGTAACCGGCAGCGCCTCCGCACGCAGCATCCACGGCCCTGGGCTCCGCCGCCCTGCGGGCTCTCGCGGCAGCCCCTGCCCTGCGCCAGGCGCGATCCCCCGACGGGCGCGCCGGCCCCTCCGAGCCGGCTCCCTTGGAAAGATGCCACACGTGGCAGTCGCAAGTTTATTCGACTGAAAACGCCCCCGAGGCGTTGGGAGAGGAAACTGCAAGAGGGGCACACGCCCTCGGCCGCCTCTCCGTCGATCCAAAGCCCCAGTACATTCACTCAACCACCCAGACGCGGGTGGGAAGGGCTGGATCAAGCACCAGCTCTAAGAGACACTTTTCCCCTAGTCCACTGACGGTTTTTGAGCCCCGGTATCTGCCGGTCCGCACCGTTCCGGCATTCTCTTGCTCAGTAACAGTTTCGCAGAATCCCATCACGTCACAATGCAAACCCCCTCCAATTGGCCAGTGGGGAGGGTGATTCAACTCTGTTTACTTTCTCCCCCTGCCAGTCAGAAAGGCCTTTCGGTGGAGAGGTGCGTCTAGAACTGAGGCACGCGGCCAATCCGACTGTTCCGTTTCGATGCCTCGTGCTACCCCTACAGCCTAGAACGCCAACTTTTAAAAGGGTAATAGCCGGAAGGCTGGCGAGAAGAAGCCGCTCATCTCCGAGAGTGCATCTCTCTGCGGGTGTCCGTCCAGGCCTCCAGACTCACACTCCAGCTTGCAGAGCTTTGGGACGCAACTCCCTTAGTCAGATGCACTCGTTCCTTTGACAAAAGAGAACTTCAGCTTCGGTTTTCCAGCTCTCAAACAGTTAAATGACTTCCTGCAAACGCTACAGTCCCAGCAACCAGCCCTCCAATCAAAAGTAAGTTGGTTGATGTCACTGACATTGGCTCAGCCAATCAGAACGGCGTTCCAAAAGCAAGCGCTCAACACTTGTAAACGCGAAGAGCTATAGTGAAACTGGACAATTCCTTGTATTTTGTGTTGCTGGTAGTAAAAGTGAGATGGGTATGGGAGGGCAGAGGTGATGAATAAATGTGGTGTAAATCTATAATGAACAACAAAACAAAAACAAACCCTAAACATGCCAGGCCAAGTTGTGCAAAAACAAATACAAGTGAGACAGTATCAATTCTTTCTTAAGTTTGTAGATGCAGCATACTTTTGGGCAGATTCTTTTTCCCCCTAAATTCTTCCATCCAATACATTACCTATGACCAGTTCATCTTAAAAATGCAGAGCTGATTAAAAAGGAAAAAAAAAAAAAAGTTCTGTTTTAAACATCATCTTCCTATCAACTATTCTTACATTGAAATACTCCATCTTTGCTTTTGTGATACTTCTTAATCCCTCTATGTTCCTGGTGTAATTTATTTTATTTTCGTTTTGAAGCAATTGTAACCCACCTTCAAATAAGTGGAGACACTAGCCCCTTTGTGTAACTTTTTAAAATCACTCATTCTCAGTTCATTTTCTTCCCCCAGACCCCTGCATAGTTACTAGGCAGTATTTCTCTTCTCTCACTTTACAGATATGGAATGGAGGTACACAGAAGTGACTTTTTCACCTGAGTAAGTAGGTAATAACATAAATTAATTGAGACAAGTCTCTTTATTCCTAGGTGTATGTGCTTTACAACTGAGCTCTGTGATTTTGTGAAGCAGTATCTGTGCTTAACAGATGCTTATGAGCTAGAACCATCTAGAGATCCTTAGCCTTGAATATTGTTGCATTAATTGATCAATAATGACTATGAGTCTTGGGGTCTGATTAACTCAGTTTGCCTTTCCCTCTGAATGAATTTTAATAGCTGATTAAAGAATCTAGGGCTAGAATCTTTTGCAGGAGGCATAGTGACATCACAATTGATTAAAAATGCATTTACTTTCCTGAGTGTGAGAGGTACCTGCCTCTATACCTGTAGATCCAATGAGATCCACCCATGGCGTCACTGGCTGTAAACTTCTGTGTCCTGAGATTTGGTTAAGTTATACAAGGTTCCTGCTTTTTAAGAGAAGAGCTCCAAATTAACCCTCTCAGTCTGGAGGCCAAGATAGTTTGACTTTGTTTTTAAAGCAGCACAGGGAAGATATTACAGTAAGTGATTGCATGGAGGAGAGAAAGTGTAGAAAGGCGTTGCTGGTGAACGATTATCATCATTACCATCATCATCATCACTGCCAACTTTTATGGCGGCACACTCGGGGCCAGGCCCTGTGCCAAGAACCCTGCGTAATGTCCTGCATGAATGAAGTCTCCCAACGGCCCTGTGAAGTAGGTACATCATAGTATGTAAAAGCTAAGATATCTTTGGGTTGTGGCTTCCAACCACCTTAATTTTAAAAGGAATCCCTTAGTGGTACGAATGATTTACGTGCTTGGCTGTCAACCAAAAAGTGGGATGCCTGGGTGCTCAGAAGAAACCCCGGGGATCTACTTCTGAAAAAGCAGCGACTGAAAAGTCCATGGAGCACAATTCTACTCTGACATATGTGGGGTCGCCGTCAGTCAGAATCAACTGAATAGCAATGAATTTAAATTTTTAAAGAATCCACCAAAGCCCAGGAGAGTCTGCCTACATAATGATTTTTCTGGGACAAAGTCTATCCCCCAGGATACATGCTCACTTGGAACACTGCACTTTTGCTCTCCTCTTTAAGGCCCAGCAGAAATAACAGTGGGACCAGCCAACACTAGTGAGATCTCTCCCAGATCCTTATGGTCATGGCCAGTATGGCCTCTCAGACTTGCATTTTCACTGGTATTTTATCACTGAAGCAGACTCCATGAGCCTAGCACCTTCAGAGAGGCCCAGAGTTAACACTGGGGTTATTCCAGAGAAGGAAGGTCTGTGTCTTCCCCTGAAGATTGTAACCCAGGAACCCAAATAAATCAATCACCTTTGGTTTTTCTAAAATAGAAACTTTTCCCTCTCTTCTTGCCCTCTTCTCTTTAATTTTGCTTAGGCTGGTCATGAAACTTGAACTCATGACATTCAGAGTAATAAACCTTAGATTTCATCCACCTGAATTTCTCTTACCATTTGCAAACAAGCACTCCCTGACTTGAATTACAATGTATTTCTAAACCCAGAGAATCTAGAGTTATAGACTGTTCTCTTCTTTTTCCCTTTTTCCATTCATTCATCTTCCAGATACTTATGTTCTTGGCAATGAACTAGATTATAGAATAATCTGTATTATTATATAGAATATAGAAATGACTAGTCTATTCTCATGGGACTAATATATTAAAAACAAATATATGTGTGTGTGTGTATATATATATATATATATATATATATATATATAACAAGTAATAATTTCTATATCAGGGTTTGTCTTGTATTTTCAAGAACAGGATTTCCTTGCTCTGTTGGAATGTGCATTATAATAGTTTTATGATTAAAACCAGCTTATGCTGTTTTGCCAGCATGTGGTTGTCTCAATTAAAATTCTGGCAAAATAAACTAGCCCAAATTAATATGAATCATTACTAATTAAAAGGAATAATTTACTAGTAAAGTATATATTATATCAGCTAAATATAAGAGCTCTGTTTTCCTCCAAGTTAGTCATTGTAAATACACACTTCAGATCCACACAAACCAACTGGGAGGAGCGTGAAAATTCAAAGATTATAACTGTGCTTCTAGTTTATAAGTGTGCATTTCCCTATCTAAGTTCTGCCATGGCTTTATTATCCAAGTTCTCGAAACAATGGCTAAATGGGCCTGGACCCAGAATATAGAAGTCTTGTTTTCTGTGCATCCTGATATAATTATTACCATTATAACCTCTATTAAAAGGTGAATATGGTAGTGGCTACCATGAGCTTTCTTTCTGGAGCTCTAGGCCAGTGTGGCAAAAGGGTGCTGGCCTCCTGGGCCTGAGATGAGCTGCATGACCTTAGGCAACTCCTGGGCTATTTCCTTCACTATGAATTGATGGGATTAGATTCAATAGTCCCTCCAAACTCTTAATACTCTGTTGTCAGGTGCTGTCCAGCAGACTGACTCATCGGAACTTTATGTGTAACTGAACAAAACATTGCAGGGTTTTGCACCTCCTCACAATCGTGGCTGTGTTTGAGTCGACTGTTGCAGCCATTGTGTCAATTCCTCTCTTAAGGATCCTCCCTCTTTTCCACTGATCCATAAATTTATCCTGCATAATGTCCTTTCTCAGTAGATTGGCCTCTCCATCCTTGCTTCTAAAGAGGATTCTGGATGTACTCCTCTAAGACAAATTTGTTCATTCTTCTGGCAGACCATGGTATGTATATTCACTATTCTTTACTAACTCAACTTGATTTCCATTAGTTTTCCTTCAGTCTTCCTTTTTCACTGTCCAATGAGGCCACTGAAAACATCATGGCTAGGATCAGGCACACGTTAGTCATCAAAGTGACATCTTTTTTTTTTTAACACTGAAACTCTTTAACACTTTAAAGAAGTCTTTTGCAGCAGATTTATCCAATGCAATGTATCATTTGATTTCTTGAATCTGCTTCCATGGGTTTTGTTGATCCCAAAAGAATGAAATGTTTGACAACTCTTACACTTACCATACTCTTGTTTGTTGCCCCAGTTGTAACGATTTTATAGGGATTTAAAAAAAAAAAAAAATCCTAGGGGAAAAACTGGGGCAAACCTTGTTGCTGTTGTTATGTGCCATGGAGTGGGACCCGACTCATAGGGACCCCTCCTTGGGTTTCTGAGGAGATATCACTACGGAAGTAGATTGCCCAACCTTCCAAGGAGTGGCTGGTGGGTTTGAACCCACAGTCTTCTGGTTAGCAGTCAAGTGCCTTAGGCACTACACTACTATGGACAAACGTTAGGTTCTTCAAATACCACATCATCTGCTGTGTCTCTATACTGTTTTTTTATGGCAGTGAAACCCCATTGGGTTTCTGAGGCTGTAAATCTTTATGGAAGTTGATTGCTCCACCTTTCTTCTGCAGAGGCTGGTGGGTTTGAACCTGACCTTCCCTAGGCAGACAAATGCCTTATCCACTATGCCACCTGAGCTTCTTATTTAATGGGACAGCAGGCACAAATATAAATTTGCCGCCAAATTTTACAATCCTTTTCAATATCATTCTCTTTTTCTTTCAAGCTGGTTTGTGGGGAGTGGCCTCATCAATGAAGAACATCATCATTTTTCCTAGGCAAGTTTTCCTCATTAGCCTGAAGCTAGGTATTTCCTGGCGAATGCAGCATGGATTTCCGGGTCCCTTTTCGAACCGAAACCGAACTCACTTCCGCGGAGTATATTGCGACTCACAACGACCCCTCCCTTGGGTTTCCCAGGCAGTATCTCTACGGAAGTAATTCAAATTGAGCCCAGGGCTAGGTTTTCCCCAACTCTCCGGGTGGAGCTAATCTCCTGGAACTCAATTTAAAATACAGATTGTGGGATGTATCCCTGCACAAGGCCGTTTAGGTTAAAATCGCACTCTGTAGGTATCGGGTCCTGCCAACTCTGGCTTTTCTCACTCTTTCCTACTGGGAGGCGAGGTTGGCGCTGGGCAGAACTGCCAGCTTCCAGGAGGTAAGGAAGGAGATAGGAACAGATGGCCCGCTGGGGGCGGCGCATCACGTGGCAGACCTCCGTTCTAGGCTGGATCCAGACCCCTCCCTTTCTCGAGCAGGCCCTAGGGTTTCAACGACCCCACCTAGATACACGGGACTTATTTGGGGAACCTGTTCATTTTAAGGGAGTCGGGAGAAGGGGAAGGTGGAGCGTTTAGGTAGGGGACAGGCGGGGCTGAAGGGCTCGGGCTTTCATCAGTGAAGACGCTCCAGGATTAGATTTACAATCAAGTAAAGACCGTCAGGTGAAACGCCCTTGACCCTAAAGACAGCTAACACCCAGGCGCTGGAGAGGAAAAGGAGTCCCAGCAAACGCGAAAACTTGCACGACGGCCTACTTAGCTCCTGCTTTGCTTTGCAGCCTTCCGCAAATCTCCTGCCCTACCCTTTGACGAGCAGAAAGGCCACCAGTTCATGCATATGCAGAAGGATAAGTTTAGCTCGCATCCCCCACCGCTCAGAGAAGCTCCGCGCCGCGCACAGTGAATCACCCGCCCTCGGGGGCGGGCATTAGGCTCCGGCCGCA